CGCGCCGCGGCTGTTGCGCCTTCCTCGCCCACCGCCTGCGCTCGGCGGAGCAGCCTTTCCACGAGTAACCCGCCTCGATCGTCCACCGCTGGAAGGTACGTGGAGAGGGAAGCCGCTTTCCCACCTTCGCCCTTTCGCTGGTGGACGGTTTTGAAAGAGTCTTGTGCCACCTCGCAGGCGAGCAGGTTGCGTGACCGGTCGGGATCGGGGGCCGGTTTTTCCCGATGGGCTGACCAAGAGCGTCCAACTCTGTGCCCAGCAAAGTCCTTTCGATGTCCTTGATCGTTTGCATTCCAGCTTTGCGGCACCCAAAGGACTTTTATCGGGCAGAAATTGGCTTGGATCGTGATCCTCTTGGCCAGCGGCGTAAAACGGGCCTCAGACTGGGAGAATTTATGCCTAGGAAAACTTCCTAGTCCTTAGGGTGCCACAGGTTTCTTGTTTTTTCCTGCAGTGGACTAACGCGACTCCTCCTTTGGAGACTGGTATGCGTTTGAAATAATTCTTTTAAGGCCCAGGGAAGCCCCTGTTGTTTTAGGATACGTTCCAGAGCTGCCTGCCAGTCTCAAATCTGGATTATTACTTATTTTGACTTGTTGATGAATGTGTGGGTATTATAGTAGTTTGGAACCTTAATTTTTCTCTGTAGAAGAAATTTGCACTTCTTCCAGACAATTTATCTGATACTTTGCTGGAAAGGGCAAGATCATCTTCCCTTCTTAATTCCATATATTGAAGAGAGCTGCATTTACAGTGGAATCATTCTTCAGCAGGCACAATAAGACAGGGTCATGCCCAATGGCAGGAAGCTGGTTTTTTGGGGGTGCAGGATAGACTACATAGCCTATGTGACATAGCTGCATCCTCCAACAAAGGGGAATGGCCATGGGGCAGTGGAGAAATGGTTGAAGAGGGTGCCATTTCTGCTCCCTGGCATCTGTTGTTGAGCTAGTTGCCCAACTGTGCCTAATGGTAGGGCCAGCTCTCTCTGACGGCCTGAAAACATGTGCTATCTAAATGTTAGAAAATGTTCTGTGTGACTTTTTCATATAAGAAGGTTAGGGATTAAAGGGGGAAATACCCCTCCAAACTTTTGTAATTCCTTAATAGAAAATATGGCACTCGTGGCCATCCCAAAAAAGTTTATCAGCTACACAAGCATTTCTTTCTTTCTTTCTTTCTTTCTTTCTTTCTTTCTTTCTTTCTTTCTTTCTTTCTTTCTTTCTTTCTTTCTTTCTTTCTTTCTTTCTTTCTTTCTTTCTTTCTTTCTTTTTCTTTTCTTTTCTTTTTTCTTTCATTTTTAAAAGAAAAGGAAAACTTAAAGGTGCCTTTTTCCCACTAGCAGAAAAAAATTATCCAAAATTATAAACTGAATAAGTGAAATGTAGCTATGAATCAGTTACTTGAAGCAGATGACTCCCTGTCTCAAAGATTAAGGCCAGCCATAGGCTTTTGTGGAAGAGCTTTGCTTAGACCCATTTATAATGACATTTTTTCCTGTTGTAACACTTGATCCCTATCTCAGCTCTACCACACAGCCCATAAGAGCTCCCCATGTGGGTAGGTAGGTACTTATAGGGGCTAAGGGCGGGACTCCTCACATCACACCTGCTCTGGGAGCCTGAAACCTTTGGGTTGCTCTCTCTGGGGCTGCGTCCTTGGTTGGTGGGCCCTGGCAGATTTGCCTGAGAGTTGGCAGGAATGCTCTGAGGCACCGGGAAGCTGGATCTTGCGGTTTCTCTTTTTGTTCCAGCCACTCCACCCAGAACACGCTCTCTCCCTACTCATACTTTGCTCTATCAAGCCATTCTACCCCTTTAAAAATAGTTCTTCCTTTCTAAAATTCAGTTTCTCCTGAATTCCTAAATTATAAAACTTGTGACAAACCTTAAAAACATAATGAGCAAAAACATTAACTCAAATTCTAAAATACTCAATTTCTTAAAAATGGTTTCTTTCATACAAAAGTGCCCTTCCTTCCTTCCTTCCTTCCTT